TGGTCCGAGCTCGCCTGCTTCCTCCCGGCATCGGTCGGGTCACGCCGGTCCTTGGGCATTGCTGCGGCGTCGCCGCCGTCACGGGCGGCTACCGCTGACTCGGCTACCGCTGACTCGGAGGCTAGCGAGGAGGACTACCTCGAGCGGTACCGTGTTCCTGTGTCCAGCCTCCCTCCGTCCGCTGCCCCAGGCGGACCCCCTACTCCGTACCGTGTTCCTGTGTCCAGCCTCCCTCCGTCCGCTGCCCCAGGCGGACCCCCGGGCCACGCCGGCTCCTTGTCGTGGTCAGTCGGCTGCCTCCGGGTATCGCGTCTAAGGGATTTTCTTCCTCCTGCATGCTCCTGCTGCTTGTTGCTTGATTGCCTGACCCTTCGGCTGCTTGTCTGCGCGGCTTCGCGCTTGGGCTGGCGCTGCCGCGTCTGGGTGCCAGCAGTGCTGGTTCTTTTCGGGCTTGTGTTTTGTGTGTGATTGTGCAGCTTCTCGCTGTGCGCTGTGTGCCTGGAGGTTTAGCTTGTTCCTGCTTTGTTTTGCTTGAGGCACTTTTTACCTTCTGTATCGCGTCTAAGGGATTTTATTCCTCCTGCATGCTCCTGCTGCTTGTTGCTTGATTGCTTGACCCTTAGGCTGCTTGTCTGCGCGGCTTCGCGCTTGGGCTGGCGGGCGGCTGCCGCGTCTGGGTGCCAGCAGTGCTGGTTCCTTTCGGGCTTGTGTTTTGTGTGTGATTGTGCAGCTTCTCGCTGTGGACTGTGTGCCTGCCGGTTCAGCTTGTTCCTGCTTTGTTTTGCTTGAGGCACTTTTTACCTTCTGCCAGTAAATCCTATGTCTCGCGTTCTGCCAGTAAATACTGTCGGCGGCTGCCCTTTCTCCGTCCGCGGCCGCCCGCTTTGTGGCGGCAGCGGACGTCTCGACTGACAGTGGTCAGTCGGCTGCCTCCGGGTATCGCTTCTAAGGGATTTTATTCCTCCTGCATGCTCCTGCTGCTTGTTGCTTGATTGCGCGCCTGGGCTGGCGCTGCGCCGCGTCTGGGTGCCAGCAGTCACGGTGCTGGTTCTTTTCGGGCTTGTGTTTTGTGTGTGTTTGTGCAGCTTCTCGCTGTGCGCTGTGTGCCTGGAGGTTTAGCTTGTTCCTGCTTTGTTTTGCTTGAGGCACTTTTTACCTTCTGCCAGTAAATCCATTACCTGATTGTGCAGCTTCTCGCTGTGCGCTGTGTGCCAGGAGGTTTAGCTTGTTCCTGCTTTGTTTTGCTTGAGGCACTTTTTACCTTCTGCCCGTAAATCCGTCTGTCAGCTGCCTCCGGGTATTGCGTTTAACTAGTAAGGGATTTTATTCCTCCTGCATGCTCCTGCTGCTTGTTGCCGCTTAATTGCTCTATAGGATTTACTGGCAGAAGGTAAAAAGTGCCTCAAGCAAAACAAAGCAGGAACAAGCTAAACCGGCATGCACACAGCGCACAGCGAGAGGTCCGATTTACTGGCGAGAAGCTGCACAAACACATACACTTGAAACACAAGCCAGAAAAGAACCAGCACTGCTGGCAACCGTCAGCAGACCCGGCATCGCCAGCCCAAGCGCGAAGCCGCGCAGACAAGCAGCCTAAGGGTCAAGCAATCAAGCAACAAGCAGCAGGAGCAGGATTTGAGCGTACCTTGGCTGGGTATGCCATCACTACTCCTCCTCGAGGCCAATCCCTCGGCGTACGGTAGTGCCATCTCCACAGACGGTGCTCTGCATCCTGATACCCTCAGCTTCATCTGGTAACTGGCCGGGCGGACGTGGCACATCGCTCGTCATCGGCTTGTTGCTGCTTTCTTCTGCTTGAGGCACTTTTTACCTTATGCGAGTAAAACTCAGTAGTATTTGTCGCTATGTATGTATGTCCATGAGGGTCTTGCTTGTTATGTATGCCAGTCCATGAGGGTCTTGCTTGTTCCTGCTTTTGAAAGTTCTGCTTGACTCGCCTCTGTGAGGCACTACTTTGAACCTTCTGCGAGTAAAACTCTCAATGACACGGGTGACTGCAGTGCGGCTGCCACCGGATGGGAACTTCCGCCGAGTAAACTGGAGTCCGATCAACAGCGCTTGGGGCTCAGCCCGGGGCCCTCCGAGGGTTCAAGTAGGCCGGGCCGGGGGCCGCCCCCAGAGCAGGACCGACGGCCGCTCGGAGCTGACTCAGGGCATGAAAACCACTGAGTCCGATCCGATCATCGCGGCCCGCCCGGCCGGGCCGCACATTGAACCCGGAGTCCGCCCGGCGCACGGCGAACCTGCTTGGCCATGTTCTGGTTCGTGGGCCAACGGCGAGTGGGGGGGCGATGGGCTGGAGCGATATGCGGGATGGGGGAGACGCTGTCATGCTGGAACCCGGGAGATGCCCAGGAGACGCTGCAGGAGGCAGACTTGCGCGTGCCCTGGTCGCGGATCCGAGGAGTGGAGAAGGAGGAAGAGCCGCCTCGCTTCGTGCTCCGCGTGCTGTTTGAGGGTGAGAAGGGGATGGGAGAGCTCGTGCTCGGAAGCAGGAGCGAGCGAGAGATCGACGTCGCCATGCAGACGATCAGCGAGAGGACCTCTGAATCAAAGGCGGCAAGGAGAAGCCACCATGTCGGGGACTCCAGCTCGAGCCTCCGGTCAGTTGGCAGCCGAGGGTTGAACACCAAGACTGATTCGAGCAAGAAGACAAATGGCTTTCTTTCCTCCATGTATCACAATATCCTCGGCAAGGTGGAGACGATCGTGTCGGATGTGCAGAAGGGAGTTGACATCTTCATGGGGAGGGATGACGCTCAAGACTTTGAAGATGCGCTGGAGGGGCCGAGCATGAGGCTGTTGAAGGTGTACCTAGCAGACGACAAGTCAGAGGACTCGATGAAGATGCTCAGCTCTTACTCGAGCCTCGACGACCTCGAACTGAAACATCATCGGAGGCCCGATGGCACGTGCTATCCTTCCTGTACCATCTGTGCTAGGGTGCAGAACAAAGAGCTGTTGGCGGAGCACAAGCACTTGCTAGAGAACCTGTGGAGGAGAGAGGAGGAGTTAAGTCGCGGGTGAGAAGAGCTTGACTCGCTGCTTGCTGTGGTTGACTGCTGTCAGCCTCAGCTCTCCCGATGACGATGACTCCCTCGACTTCAACGCCGCGCGCAAATATGAACCAGCAGGCAAAGCTTGAGGAAGTGAGGGGGTGAAGTGACGATGAGCAGAAGACTTGGCGTTGGACTTTGACTTTGAGAAGGAGCGAGGAGAAGAAATCTCGAGGCAGCGAAGCTGGTGGCGTAGCAGAAGCTGACTCGTCCTCAGGTTCTTGTCAGACTCATTCGAGTCTCTGATCGACGCGAACTCTCCTAGAAACTTCGAGCTGAATGAGGAGGGAGAAGCGATGGAAGTAGTAGAGATGAAGCTCGTCCTCGATGTGATGTCCCTTCCTCTGCTCTCACCCTCCTCTCCCTCGCTGATTCTCATGCTTGCAAGTCCCTGGAAGGTCAAGTGGCGAAGCTCATGGCCGAGATGCGTTCCGCTCGCCAGCATGAAGGAGCGATGAGCAGCCTCGCGACGAGCGTCATAGCTAGTGCAGAGAAAGCGACGAGCAAGAAACTCACTTCTGACTCCACGAGGTTGGAGGGAAGGGAAGTGGAGGGGGGAGGGAGGGGGGAGGGAGGGAGGGAGGGAGGGAGGGAGGGAGGGAGGGAGGGAGGGAGGGAGGGGAGGGAGGGAGGGGCACCTACAAATGGGCCAGGAGGATGGTGGAAGGACCAGGAAGGAACGACATAACGATGGGCTGCAGTATGATGGTGGGAGAAGATGAAGGGGAGGAGGTGAGCAATGGCTTGAGATGTGATCTAACGCCTGACTGCCTTCAGCTCCTTGAGTTGCGAACCACCTCGCACAAATTCCTCTCTCAACTTCTCATCCTCCGCAAGAATCAGCTGGAGGACGTGGAGGCCTCTGACGTGCGGGACGTGCTGATGAGAGTTCTGCTTGCTTACAATGAGGTTGAGAATGGTGAGTGGAGCAGGAGAAGGAACAGGAGGAACAGGAACAAGAGCAGGAGGTGGTGGCTGAGGAGGAGGAAAAGCCCTGCAGCTGTCTGGCTGCCTTGCCAGCCGAGTCTGACTTGACCATCTCACCAGCTCATCGGAGGTTGAAGCATGTGGAGAACTTGTCGATCAAGACGGAAACTGATCTCACCGACAACCTCTCCTTCCTCTCCGGCCTGACGAGGTGACAGCTGACGTCACCGACCGCTACTGACAAGTCTGAAGAACGTCGCTAGAAGAGGCGAAGATGAGCACGAGAGAGCTGAAGGAGGTGCAAGACAAGAGCGACGAGCTCAACAAGGTAGAGGAGGAGGAGGAGGCTGGAAGTCGCTGACGATGGCCAAGAGCCTCATCGAGTCCGGGAAGAGGCTGCAAGCGCTGAGGGGGAGGATCGAGGTGTACCAGATGAAGCATGGGAGCTCGCTACTGAATGACGTGAGGACACGCAAGCGTCGCTCTCGCTGACTCGCTTGCAGAATATTCACTGGATGTTCGTCAAGTCGCTCACCTGGTTCCTATGGATCGTCATCCCTCTAATCGTTCTTCCTCTCAGGGTCTAAACCTGCCCCCGACCTCCTCCTCCACTCCTCCTCCTCTCCTCCTCCTCCTCTCCTTCTTCTCTATTCCTCCTCTCCTTCCATGCTCCTCCGAAGTTTCTTGCACTCCTCATTCCTTTTTCCTAACAGGCCATGCTCAGCATCTTTCGCCGCTTGTCTCGAGCGTTTGTCTCGCGACAGTCAGAGAGGGTTCAGAGGCTCGCAGGTTTGACGTCTTTCCCTTGCCTTGAGGTCATCTTGAGTGCAGAAAGTGCTGGCGGAAGTAGAGGAGGCGGGGGCGGGGCGGACAGCAACGAGCAGTTGTTTCAAGACTTGCACGCGCAAGAGAAGCTGGCAGCCTTTCGTTCGAGGAGGAGCAGGCAGACGCGAGAGGGAGGGGAAGGAGCTGAAACTCAGCTCGAACCCTTCACGAGGCTCAGCTCGAACCCTTGATCACCATCTCGTCCGTCATCGACTTTCATCAGCTTCCCTCCTCCCTCGGGCGCATCTCCACGTCAGCGACCAGATGCCACACCCGCGGCGCGTAGGTCTTCACGTGCTCCACGTGCTCGACTCTCGCTCGCCACTCTCCTCTCCCCTGACGTCGCGCGATCTTCTCCAGCTCCTCCTCCAGCTGCCGCAGCCACGTGGCTTCGTCGGCCTCCGCCACGTTCTCATGCACGTGCAGCCAACCGCCATCGTCGCGGAGGCAGCGAACCTGAAGCAGCGTGAGTTGAGCCTCTCACGAGCATGCGAAACCGCGACGGGCCAGCCCTGCTCGCTGGAGGGGAGGAGGCCGAGGAGGACGCGGTGAGCCGAGCGGTCGAGGAGGGAGGTTGTCTCGCGGTTGTCGCCGAGGAGCACGTGGCAGCGATCGGCGACGCGATTGGCGAGGAGGTTCCTCTGCAGGGCCTGCCGAAAGCAAGTGAGAAGGGAAGGAGGAGGAGCGCGAGGGACCTCGACGGAGTCCGGGTTGATCTCACAAGCGAAGAGCTTCGAGCACTTGGCCTGCACCAGCAGCGGGAGGGTGAAGTAGCCGATGCCGGCATACAGGTCCACCACCGTCTCTCCGGCAGCCGCGATAGTTCCCATCCTCGCCCTCTCATTGACGTTCCCGCGGCTATCGGGAGGTCAGGAGCTGGAGAGGAGCTGCAAGCAGGAAGCAGTCTCGCCTGAACATGACCCTGCAGATGTCGAGCGAGTAGGTGATGCCGTTCTGCGTGACTTGTACCCAGCTGTCGCCGCCCGGAGGGAACTTGAGGGTCACGTGGCTCTGCCGCATCCTTCCTTCGTCAACTTCCGCCTGCCTCAACCTCAACCCTTCAGCTTCACGTGCAGCCGCAGCACCTTGACCGCGACTCGCTTGGCGGAGAGCGCGCGAGCCACCGCAGACCACAAGGCGTCGGGGGCGATGAGATCCCAGGGCGAGCTCTGACCACACGTCACTTCGCTGCTCAGCTGGACTAGGGCTGGGCATGCACCTGGAAGCTTCCTTCGGGTAGAAGGATAAGGTCTCCAAATTCCTCCCAGTGTCGAGGGACGCCAGCCTGCTCGAGGGTCTGAAGGAGCAGTGAGGGAGCGAGCAGGCAGCGGAACAGCGCTCACCTTTCCCTCCGGCATCGCATGGCCATTGGCTGTGAGAAGCTGCTTGACAGCTTCAACGAGGAGGGCATGCGGCGACCTCTTGATCTGCTTCCCGGCGACCGGGAGGTTGTCGACCTGTTGTCACGTGTGAGAGTTGAGAAGTAGAAGAGCAGTCGACAAGGCCAGAGGGGAACAAGCACAACCTTGACGAGACAGCAGTTTCCATGTTTGATCTGAGATCGAATGAAGTTCAACTCATCATCAACTGAGATCGAGAGTAAGCGCTACAGCAATCAGAAGCAACTCCAAACCATCAGTCGACTCTTTCAACTTCTCCAACGCCTCTCTTCTAAGAGGAACCGCAACCTTGCCATCTTCAAGCTTGCTGTTCCTGTACCTCTGCTGCCAGGTGAACGATTGCTTCTTATTCATTCAACCCTTCCCTCACCGTCTCAAGATCCCCGCTCTTGCACAGTATCTTGCGAATCTCCTCGCAAATGTTGGGGTTGCAAGCTATCGTCCAACCATCATCGTCATCATCATCTTGTGCTCTCTTGTCATTCTCTTCACAACCGGTCGGTGGGCTCAGAATGCTTTTTCGCAGAATTCGGTGCAAGTTGTCTGATTTCTCTTTGTTCTTTGTGAACTTCTCATTGGCAATGCCTGCCAATATAGCGAGGTACTCGCCTGAGACTACCAGCTCTCCGTCCACGAGGATGGGAGCTTCCATCCTTAGAGCCGAGGTTCTCACGCCCACTATCACATGCTTCCTCCTGCCACCCCCGTCACTCGAGAAAGCAAGCCCTTTCCTCACCCAACGGAGATGCCGGACTCTCTGAACCCTGCGTCCCTCGCCGCCTCCATGAGTCGAGTAGCAGCTTCCAGCGACTTACACTGCACGTGTAAGATGAAGGGCTCGTGCTTGAAGTAGGCGGTTCCTTTCTCCGCGGGACGAAGCGCCAGAGCCTGTTGGACATCTTCGATTGTAACGTGAGCGTGCTTGCAGAGGAGCCACTGCCCTCCCTTGCATCGTTTCTTCTGCTCTTTCTGGTCCTCAGGCTCTTCGAGCCCCTCCCCCTCCTCCACTCCCTTCCCTGTTTCCGTGACAGGCTCCCAGAAGATGGCGACCCTGCCAGAACAGGAAGAAGTGGAGACGTAGTCAGGGTGCTGGTTCAGCTCCTCGAGCATCTCTTGTATCGGAGCATCGAAAGATCCCTTCTTGCTCCGGTCTGCCCCGCAGGAGATGGCCTCCAGCAAGGCGTCCTTCCTCCTCTCAAACCTCTCATCCGCCGCTATTGCCGCCATCACGGTCTTTACCGACTCTCTGTTCGCAACCGCTTCTCGCAGCCCCCACAGGAGGAGCAAGAAGATCAGAGAAGCTGCCTGTCTTCGCATGTCTCTCGCCTCCTCGTCGCCTCCCTCATGCTTCCTCCCCCACCATGCAGCACCTCCCCCACCACGCACATGCGCAGTTTCGCTGCGGTAGAACTTTTACTCGAAGTTAACTTAAAATCTGTACGAGAACTGATTTGAGAGACGGGCCAACCCTAGTTTTGACTCAAGGGAGTCCGTCTGGGAGTCCGTACCCACCCAGCCTCCCTGGTGCCTGGGGACAGTGAGGGGATGAGGGTGCCCAGGCCTTTCCGATTGGCCATGCGCCTGGGGCGCATCTATGCGACGTGAGGGAGGGAGACCAAGGCAGAGAGAGACAGAAAGAGGGCGAAGGCATGGGAGGGAAAGGGAGGGAGGGAGAGGGGAGAGGGGAGAGGGAGAGGGAGAGGGAGAGGGAGAGGGAGAGGGAAAGCGAGGAGGGAGGGAGGGAGAGGGAGAGATAGAGGGAGAGAGAGAGGGACATGGAGAGGGACAAGGAGGGAGAGGAGGGTAAGGAAGGAGGGGACCGGGGGACGGGGACGGGGGACGGGACGAGGGAGGGAGGAGGGAGGAGGGAGGAGGGGAGGGAGGAGGGAGGGAGGGAGGAGGGGAGGGAGGAGGGGAGGGAGGAGGGAGGACGTAGGAGGA